CGCTGTGAGCCGAGTAAACTGCTTCCACAGCACCACACTGCCTGCTGGCCCCACAAACTAACTTAACGCTATCTTTCCCCATAAAATAAAATTGACGTGTAATCACAAAACACACGCACACACACCCAGAGTTCCATGCTTTTCCTCCACCCTCAGCTCCAAAAGCAGCAAGTAGCCATTTATTCATTTATTCAAGTATGAAATCTGCCTATCGCTTTTTCTTCAGCTTTTTGTCATAAGATATATATGCTCTCTGGAGAGAAAAAGAGAGAAGGAAAGTGAGATATAATCCCCCAGGGAGGATGGCCACACCACAGTCCTCTCTCCTCCACTTTCCTTTCAGGTTTTTGGGCACATGCGCACACACACACACCTACCTGGCATGATTTTCAAGCTGCCGGGCCCAGGGCTCAGTATATAGTTGGCCATGTGGGAGTCCAGCACCTTAACCACTATGCTACCTGCTGGCCCCCTGCCTGCCTGTTCTTTTAAAAGGATGCAAAATAAAAGGCTCCCAGCTTTCTCCTCTCCATAGACTACCACATTTGCCTTTTTACTACCCTTTCAAAGATCATTTCTGTGTGTGAACATGTACATACACATATGCACACATAATACGCATTTATGTAAAATATTTTCAATTAGAAGTTTTCTGTACCTTTTATACTTTGGCATCATAAACTGTTCTAATTAGGTAAAATATCTTTAACATCATAACAATTACATATATATGCCCTAATTTCCTTTCCCTAAAGCACATTTAATTAAATGCACTCAATTGCCAACTCAATCTTAGCTTTGTCAGTTCTAAAATGCTTCATTAGTTTCCCAGTTCCTTTCACTGTTCCTTCCAGACTCCCAACAGTGAAGATTCTAAGAAAAATATCATCAGGATTCAAAACAGAAAAAAACAATGCTAAAATATTTCCTCCCTAATTAAAATTGTTCTTCTATTAGCAGATTCTTTGCTTGTTAATTGTGTGGGATGTGGAAGAGCTCATCTATGACACGAGTCCCGGCTTGCTGGCAGTGAGAGTCTGTGGTGTAGACATGTCCGTTCTGCCCAGCTGTCGAAGGCCCAGCGATGCGCTCAGCGCTGTTGGATAGGCAGAGAAAGCCGGCAGTCGTTCGGGCTGGGAGCAACAGCCGAAATGGCAGAGTGGACTCCAATGAAGGAGGGATTCCCAAACCAGCCAGAACTCAGATCTGATGATGCAGTCAAGAGGGAGCTGCTTGAAAAAGCAATGGAAGTCAATGTAAAGTTATATGTAATCTAGTGTAATAGAAAGAAGATTATGATGATAATAAAATAAAAAAAAAAAAAAAAAAAAAAAAAAAAAAAAAAACAAAAAAAAAAGGGGGGGCGGCTGAAGAGGGAGCTGCTGGGGGCCAGCAGGTGATGTAGTGGTAAAGGCACTGGACTCCCACATGGTTGATTGTGGTTCAAGTCCTGGATCTGGCGACTTGAAACTCATGCTCGGTACATGTACGGGTGTGACCAAAATCTCAAGAGGAGAATGGAGAAGGGATTGCGGCCACTTTCTGGCAAATGCACATGCCCTATGGCAAAAACCTTAGAGAGAGAGAGAGAAAGCACGCTGTTTAAGTTACCTAAGTCAGGAAACTGATTAGAGCAGCGGTGAAATTCTACTCTAAAAATTCTCTTTATTTTCCTGCTCTGGATTGGAGGGATATGTAGGGGCGGGGGCGGGCCTATACTTAGAACTCGAGGCTGTGGGTGTAATTTAATTTAGATTTGAGGTGATGGAGTTCTGGGCTCAGTAGCAGCACAAAAATGCGGACATTTTGAAAGACAGTCAGCTAAGACTTGGTGACTAAGCAGACATGTAGACGAGGGAAAGAAATGAGTCACTAACACCTGAGTTTTAGTGTTCCTGGGGTGTGGTGGCAACAGGGAAATCAGAAAAAAGGAATGAAACTTTTTGTAAGAAAGATGACGAATTAGGCTTTAGGCATGCCAATTCGAGTAAAAGTTCAGTGGAAAACAGGCCATGTAGCTAGGGCACAAGTGGAAGGATGGGACTGGAAATGACATAAAACTTGGTATTATGGGATATTACAAATACATATTACAGTACTGTAAACAGTACCGAACGCACCTGAGTCCAAGAAAGATCAACTCTTGGCCAATCGTATTTTCATACTTCCTCCGACTTCATATTGTTTTGAAGCAAATGCAGACATAAAGATAGGGGTTTAAAAGTAAGCAGCCAGAGGGGCCACCAGGCAAGGTGGTTAAGGAGCTGGATTCCCACATGGCTGGCTGGGTTCGAGTCCCAGACCTAAGCGGCTTGCTTTCTCACTTTCCTGCTCTCTCTCTCTCTCTGGTCAAATTAAATAATAATAATAAATAAAATTAAATACATAATTTTTTTTTTAAAGTATGAAGCAAGGAAAATGTAGATTTGGGAAGACCTCAGAGACTCTCAGAGCAAACTTTCTCCTTTTACAATGAGCAACACTAAAAATTAGCGTGGCAATTAATCTACTCACATCTGGAAAAAAAATAAAAAGAAAGAGCGGTGGAGCTGTCCCTGGAATGCAACTGTCTGCAGCCATGCTTTGACAAGTCTTTGTCTTTCTGAGATGAAATGGGAGTAAGATGAGGTGTACATTTTTCACAAAGCTAAAATTCAATTTAAGAAATGACAAGCTGGGAACCAGCGGAGGGCGTAACGGTTACGTTGCTGGACTCCCATGTAGTTATCTGTGGTTCAAGTCTTGGACCTGGCAGCTTAAAACTCACACCAGGCGTGTATGTCCGTACCCAAAATCCCGAGAGGAGGATGGAGTAGAGACTGCAGCATGGCCATCCATCCTGGGGGTGATTTCTCGCTTTCTGTCTCTCTGTCTCTCCGATAAGTGCATGCTCCCTATAGCAAAAATCTCTCTCAAAAAAAATCACAGTTTGACAAGATTTTATGAAATGCTATTCGTAAACATATTACAAAAGTAAATCTGTTTTATGCTTACTCTATTTGTAAGTCTGTCCAATAACACTGTGTATGCCTCTTATTAAACAATGTAACTCCTGGGGGCCAGCAGGTGGTGTGGGGGCTAAAGTGCTGGACTCCCACATTCCCACATGGCCGACCACCGAGACCCTGACCCGGTGGCTTGCTTTCTCACCCTCCCTCTCTCTCCGTTTTTCTCTGGTAAAACTGAATAGTAATAATAAATAAAATTAAATACATAATTATTTTTAAAAATGTAATTCTAAAATAGGCTTCCTCACTAGCAGCAGAACAGAACTGTGTTTACACAGTCACCTCCGACTCGTTTCACACTGTGGCCCTGGAGTCTCTCAGGTCACTGTAAGTATGCCTTGGAGGAAACAAGAGTCCTCTGTCGGAGTCAGTTACTTGCGGCTGCCAGAAAAGTCACCTTGAATGACTTGTTACCTCTTACACCAAGCCCACGTTCACGAAGCCAACTTCCTATTGGTCGTGTGAGTAGAGTACACACAATAAGAAGCATGTTGATGCGAAGTCTATGGACAGACACGACTAAGTCCTACTCCGCTGCCAGAAGGAACTTGTAGTTTAATCAGAAAAAATGACCTATGTATTACTTTTAAATGAACCTCAGGGGTCTATTAAGTATTGGACCTATTAAGCTTAAATAAATTTAAACCTAATACATTCAGATTTGTTAAGTGAATCGGTGACTAATCATTTAAATATGTGGCAATATTCTTTGTGAAACCACAAACAAAAAGCACTGACTTGACAAAAATCCTGATTTAGAAAATGTGCTTAGTATTAGACGCGCTAAGAGAACAGCACTGGAAGCAGCATGTGAATACAAATACAAACGGCCCAGGGCACCCCAGCGCCCAGTTTTATACGTAGAAGATGTCTGCTTCCACGAGGCTCTAACGCAATCTAAACATTAACTCGCGGGCCCAGCAGGTGGCGTGGAGGTCGAGGTGGTGGATCCCACGTGGCCGGCAGCTGGGAAACCATTCCAGGTGCCTGTGTGTGCGTGCCCAGAATCCCAAGAGAAGACGAGAGGGAAGAGATCACAGCGCGGCCATTGTCCACGAAGGGTGATTCTCACTTTCCTTCTCTCTGTCTCTCTCTATCCCTCTCTGGTGAGCCCATGTACATACACTATGGCAAAAATCTAAAAAAAAAAAAAAAAAGTTCATGAATTCAGTTTAATACTTTTCATATAAGACAATTACTAAAAAAGTTTTTAAAATGAGTATATGCAATTAGTTGTTTCAGCTAATTAAAATGTCAAACTCTGTAATAATTTTTCACAAAGATGTTTTTAAATGTAATAATATAGTACATGGTGTCCTTTCTTGGAAAGAACTGGCCCTTATTCAGGGAGTATGTCCTTCTCTCTTGTTTTGTATTGGGTGTTCTCTCTCATGAAACAGCAGTAGGTGGTAGCTTCTAAAAAATAACATCTTACTTGGGGAGAATAAAACAGGAGCAACACCACCAGGACCAATTTAAACGAAAAAGTTCCAATATTCTGGTCTGTGAAATACACAATTGAGGAAACCCCAGCATTGCAATACCCTGGACAATGGAG